TCAGCCACTCTCCCATTTCCTTCTTTGTTTCCTAGAAAGGTTGAACCGAGCCTGGGGGTCTGCGCTGTTCATCTGCCAGTCTTCTGTGCGGGAGCCAGTCTGATGGTACAGCGTGGTAGTTGCCATGATTGATTTCAAAACGAACTCAGTAAATCTTGAGTGTGTAATAGGAGCTGGGGGGTGATGTCAGGATTCAAACCCACTGTCCCCGGGCCCCAGGCAGCCAGGTTGTGAGGGGCCAAGGAGCACTGGAGGGGGAGCTTCCTGGGAGGCTTCACCTGGTGAAGAGGGGCAGAAACGACCCCCACACACTCTGTCTCCTGGGAGCCACACCTCTGCCTTGCTAAAGGTTCAAGGCTGTATTTAAAAGCACTTGCAATTCATTCGTACGTCACGCAGTCCAAACCAAACTGGTCTGCAGCTGAATAAGGTCACAGGTTGCTGGTTTTAGGTCTCAGCTTAGGCTTTTCACCGACTGCATATTCACCGGCTGAATAAACCTGCACCTTGCGTTGATTCAGGACACCTGCTTCATCATCCACTGGCTAGTGTAGACGTACATCTGTGTCCCCTACCTACGTCTGAGCCTCTGGTCTCCTTATCCTATAGCAGAATCACAAGGTTTGAACTGTTGTGATCACAGCATCTTTAATACTGGGAAGTGTTTCACACCACCGCTTTCACTCACACACACACACACACACACACACACACACCCTTCCACTCACTATCCCTAATTTTCTGACTTGTTCTGCTGGTCTCGTTAGATTTTCATCCCCAGATAAAGTTGAGAATCATTTTATCATTTTACAAAATAAATAAAAAGCCTGGGAGGTTTTTGAGGTACTGGCTGGTGTATAAACTCCCTTAGGATCAGACCCCTTCCTTGGGGGAACAGCTCCCTGCCCTGCGTCTTCCTTCCTGTGTCTCTGATGAGTCTGGTCTTCTGACAGGTGGATTCTCGCAAGTCTTAGTCCCCTGAGGCCATGTCCATTCTGTGGCGCTGGAGACCCGGAAGGCGGTTTCCCTTCCCCATTCCTAGTGGAGGGTCCCAGGAGGCAGGAAGGACTTTGGTAAGGACAGAGCTGGTTTACCAACACAGGGTGCTTTCTTCCTACAGAAAGTAGGAAGGAGACACTGCACCTAGAAGTAGCCTGCAGGAGGAAAGGGCCCCAGGCAGCCAGCCCCACCTGGGTGCAAACACACGGAACAAAGGCCCACCCACCCAGGCGCCCTGGCGCCAGGCCCCAGGGAATCATAAAGGCAGCCATGGCCTGGCCAGGCTGGCCACTGGACCTGCCTGCCCTGCCCTGCCCGGGAGCTTTGAGGACTCAGAAACGAAACTGTTTACCCACACAATGACTCTGGCAGGGGGGTCATTGTTAGGAGTTGATTATTTTACAGAGGAGGGGCCTCAGGTGGGGGGGGCGGGTATGTGAGCCCCCAGCCTAAGACGGTGCTCTGAAGTAAACTGCTGGGGCTTGAACATGAGGCCTCCAACGCCAGCAAGTAGCCCTGGCTCTGGAGGTTCCCCCCTCCCCACACCACATTACCGGTCTCCCACCCCAGCCTTCCTTGGTCAGAAACAGCCGCTGCTCGCCAAGAGTTTCCTGGCAGCTGAAGAGAGCTGCTCTTGGGCGTTTCAGCCCCTACCAAACCCTGAGAGCAAGCTGGCTCAAGAAGCATTTGTGAACTAAATGAGAGAGCAAGGGGGCTCAAGAAGCATTTGTGAACTAAATGAGAGTGTCTTGGGTGGCTGGTGGCAAAGCACAGACCGCAGGCCCGCAAGAAGTGTTGGGTCTCCGAGAGTGACAAGACAGACCAGCCCTCTTGCCTCGCACCTGACGTGGCAGAGACAGCACCTACACCTTCTAGGTGGTGGTGTCCTGGCACCTTCGAGGTGCCTGGTGCTGCTGCTCTGAGATAAGGGTCAGCAGGAAGAAGGAGATAAGGCTGGAGAGGAGAGAAACGGGAAACTTTCAGTGACGGTTCTGGGCTCTGGATTCTGGCCCACAGGATCCACGGGTCCAGAGCCAAGCTCTAGGCCTGGGACCTAGGTCCAACCAGGCTATGTCCTCAGGCTCATTCTGAGGTCCAAAGTCTAGGCGGTAGGTGTGGGGTTCCGCATTCTGGAGCTCCACATTATGGGCTCCATGTGCTGGGGTCTGGATTCTGAGGCCCAGGTTTAGCACCCCATGCTCAGAGTTCCAAGACGTAAATTCTGGGCTCCCAGCTCTAAGCGCTAGGTTCTGGATTGGATGGGTCAGGCTCTGTGCTTGGCCGCCTGGGTGCTGGCTCCTGGGTTCAGGGGCAGGTTGGAGACTCTAAGCCTGGACCCTAGATTCCGGACTCCAGGTTTGGGCCAGGTAAGAGGACTGCAGAGGCCAAGTAGCGTCATCATCATGCTTTCTGCCTGGAATAGAAGCTCCCTGGGGATAGGGGTTCATGTTTTATTCCCTGGTGCAGCCCCCAACTTAAAGAGTGCACACAGGTAAGCACACACGGACACAGGTCACGGGGCCACCAACCTGCAGTGGCAAGCTGGGCACAGGACGCTCTCCCCTCACCACCGAGCCAGCTGGAGGAAAGGGCAGAATGCTGTGGAGCTGGGTTCCACCGAGCACCCACATATTTCCTGTCTATTCCAGGTTTGTGTTCTACTCCAGAGGTAGGGTGGCGGTGACACCCAGGGCAGAGGTGTCCTCAGGTAAGAATCCTCTCACCTGATGGGCAGGGGCCTCTGGAATAAGGTGCTCACCTTCACAAGACCTTTGTTTCCCCAGTCCCAGGTGAGAACCCGGCCAGCACCAGTTGTCTGGGTTGAGAAGAATCCAAGAGAAGCCTCCTGGACTGGTCAACTTCAGTGTTGTCAAGGAACAAGCAAGAATACTAGTCATCAAAGACTCAGGTGGTCATGGGTGATGACGGCAAGGGTCAAAAGAAGTCATTGATCAGGGCCACGTGATGGGAGTGACTTGTAATTAGAGATGACGAAGTTGTGGGGACATGACTTCACTCAAGCATAGCGTGATCAGAGAGAGCAGTGGTCACACGCTGCAGGTCAGGAGGCAGTGTATAGGATCTAGGGGGGAGAATGATCACTGATTGAATATGTCAACAATCATTAAGTGCAGACCTGGGGGACCAAGGATGAGGGCAATGGGAGCATTAGTGATGAAAGCACTTGGTGCACGTGTCCTTAATAACTCAAGGACAGATGACACGTTGGTGATCGGATTCTATGGCTAGAGGTGTCCAGAGATCCTAGTGACAGGGATTTACTGGGGAGGGGGGACACCAAATTAGGGAATTTGGTGATCAGAAGCGCAGGTGGGCCCTGGTGGTGCAATAGGTCAAGGCGCAGCACTACGAAGCTATCAGCAGCCACTGAAACACGAGTTCGATCCCTGGCCAGGGGGCTGACCCACATGGCTCAGCAGATCTCTCCTGTCTCACCTGCTGCTCCCATCAACAGTGTGTCTTGGTCAATCTGCCTGTTTTGCTCCCCACTCTGTCTCTGGAAAATCCTCTCACCTCCTACACCTGTGGCCTGTACCCCAATTCTGTATGCATAAATAAATCTCTAAAAAAAAAAAAAGAAACAGAGAAACAGCAGCACAGGTGACTGGTAATACTAATAGTGGGGAGCAGGGGTGCTAGTCTGAGGGACATTGGTCATCAGGGACTTGCAAGATGGGAGATTCAACCAATCACTGATGTTGGCCACTCCAGAGCATAGTATCAGTTGGAGCAGTTAGGGACATTGGTAACCTGGAGTCACTGGCCGTCACATTCATAGAAAATTTGAAAGCAAGAGGACTCCACAATCAAGGAAACTGGCCATCAGGAACACTGTTGGCTAGAGATTTTGGTGATTAGAGATAAGTGTCCAAGAACCTTATTGAGGAGACACAGGTGATGGAAAATAGTGAGATTGGAGACACTGGAGGTCAAGACGAGGAATGAAATCTATCATTGATTATAAAAACATTGACCTATAACACTAGTGCTCATACTTCTTATCGACCTAGGACATTAGTAACAGGGCCTTGGGGATCAACACACTAGTGACTGGGGTGATCAGAGACACCATGATCACAGCCACGGTGACTAGAAATACTGGGAAAGCAGAGAGTGATGGAGAGCTGGGCAGTCAGACACATTGAGCAGAAATATTGGTGAGTAGATATGTAGGTTAGAAACACTAGTGATAGGAGATACTCACCATCAGACATACTGGTGAGCACGGATGGTCGCTAGACACCTTTTAAGCATATTTTGTGCAGGATTGTGATCAGGCATGTTGAGCAAAAGCATTCTAATACTGGTGATTAAGCTGTGGTGGTCAGTTAGTGCTAATCAGATGTCTCTGACCGTGGGCTCTGGTGACCAGACACAGTGGCTAACTCTGATGACCAACAACATCATGGAAGATGACACAGTCCATGACATCAGTGATCAGAGACATGAGAGATCCTGTCTGTCACTGAACAGGAATATTAGTGACCAGAGAACTCAGAAATAAGAAGTGACCGGCCCGTGGGAGGGAGTGGATGGGATGGGGCAGAGTGAGGGGACCAGTTCTTGTTGGAGTCTTAAGAAATGGAGTTGAGACGTCATAGAAAGGAGGCGTGTGATGACCACAGACTGAGAAACCGGGCTAAGGGCCTCTCCAGTAACCACCCAGCCCCCAGGCCCACCGCCCCCCCCCCCCTTAAATGAAATTCAGCTGGGAGCAATTCAGAGCACAGAGTGTGGCTGCCCTTCCAGGAGCCTTTCCCTCAAACGCGGGGCTGTGAAAGCTGTTCAGTCTGACTGCTAATCACACCGGACCCCAAAGCCCTGGGAGCCAACCAGGCAAACCAGAAGCATTCACAAAAAGTATTTTATTATTCTTAACAGTATTCACTTTAAAGGAATAGGAGGATAGCATACAATTTTTACAGACAATATATAAACGTTGTACATAATTAACAATAACTTAGTTCACTAATCCAAAATAAAACAAGCAAAATAAAACATAAAAACAGAAAATACTGCCGATTCTTCTTCTTATGCGGATACTAGTACAAAATAAGTTACTTCTGGCTGTGGTGCCCCGCAGCGATGGCCTGCCCATATTGCACTTGGTCGACTACATCAGCACAATCCTCTTCCTGGGCCGGGCCCCCTCGGGCCGCCGCGCCCCACCACCACCGCATACAGAATCTAAGCTCGGACACGGTTATGTACAGCTGTACCTTGGGAAGGATCCAGAAGCCACCACAAAGCACAGAACCCGGCACCTCCCGGGGCCCCGGCAGGGTCATGGCCTCCCCCTGGGTCCTGGCTCTGGCCACCCCCAACTCCTGTCTTCACCGCCTACCAGGCCCACCCCCCTGAAGCCGAGAGCACCAGGCCTCTCCCCTGGCCCTCAGCGTCCCGTTGTAGGGCTGTGGGATCCAAGACTATTCCAAAAATAATTTCGAGGCTACAGCCTTGGTTTGTAGGTTTTATTCCTTTCCATAGCAAGGACTTGTGTGGCAATGTACAATTGACTGGACCCAAAATGAGTTCAAAAATAAAACAACTAACTCGTCAGCGAGTTAAGCTTATGCAGTTTTTTTTTTTTTAATATTTTTTTCTTTTGTTTCAGAGTGGGAGGGGAGGGTGTGGAGGGCGAGCAGAAAAGGGCATATGTACAGAGGCCCACTGGCCGAGGAGACAGGCTGCGGCTCGGACTGTTACGGGGACACGGATCACAACAGCTTTGGCCTCAGAGCCGGGGGGAGTGAACTGGGAGACGTTTCCCCTCTCAAGAAAATCTTGTTTCCTTCCTGTGACCCAGCCCTGGCCTGGGAATCTGCGCGGGACCGCCCATGATTGTCTCTGCCCTCCAGGGCCCAGCTGCAGGGCACACACAGGCTCGGCCTGCCCGGCCAGCCCGGGGCCCTCTGGCCTTGGTTCGGCCCTGTCCGGGAGTCAGCTGTCTGAGGGAGGGAAGCCAGGAGAGAGGTTTGGGCCGAGGGGCCCACCGCCGAGCTGCCCCAGAGCCTGGCGGGTGGATGGGCCAAGCAGCCCTTGGCCCTGAGGAAGAACCCAGAGAACTCGGGGCAGCTCAGACCTCCCCAGGCTCCCTCCCGGTCCTCCTCGAAGCAAGAGCAAAATAAATTATTTTTGCCTACTCCCTTTTCCTTCTAAAAATGGTTTCGTTTGTTCCTTGCCCCCTTCTTTTCTCATCATAAAGTTGTCCTTTCTGCTCTCCAAACAACTGTCCGTGATGGAGACCCCACCTGGGCAGCAGCCTGGCCAAGCCACCTCCCAGCCCAGGAGGACTCTTCACAGTGTCTGCCCCGGCTGAGCAGAGCCCGCTGGGCTCGGGGGGGCCCCCGGCTGGGCTGCAGGGGTGGCATCAGTCTTCGGGGAGGGGCAGGCAGCTAAGGGTTTGGTCCACCCCTCCTGGAGTGCTGCTGGTCGCCCTCCTCAGTGTCCATCTGTCTGTTCGGCAGGGGGCGGTGCCTAGCCCATGGCGGTCACCATGCTGGATGGGTGGGGGTGGCCAAAGGAGAGGCTGGAGGAGGGGTGGATGGGCGTCGGGGTGGGCAGGATGTGTCCCGAGTGGCTGAAGGGCGGCAGGTGGCCCACGGGCGCCATGTGTCCGGCCAGGGCGGCCGCGCTGAAGGGTGACGACTTCTCCTGCATACACTTGGACAGCTCCTCGTAGCACTCGGCCCCCTTCTTGTTCTTCTTGGACTTGTTGGACATCTTCCGGTTCCGAGTCTGGATCCCTTCCTTCTTCATGGTCAGCGGCCTGTTCACCTGGGGGAGCCACAGAGCCATCAGGGGGCCGGTCTCCTTCCCAGAGCTAGTCCCCTCCGGCTCCCCCCTCCGCCCCCAGTGGGACTGGGGGCCCCACTGTGGTCTGTCTCTCACCGGCGCTGGTTCACTTTCAGGAAGGTGCATTTCATGGTGGGCCGGCCTGCGCCCTGCAGGCCCTGCGCCCCTACATGCCAGCACTGCCCCTCCCTCCGCCCCCACATACCAAACGCCACCTTCCTCAACCCCAGACTTTTGTTTTAAACAGAGCAACCACTTCCCTAGCCCTGCGGAGCCCTGCTGCTGCGGGGGGCTGCTTCCAGCAGGCTGGCCCCCTCAGATGGGAAGCCCTTCTGGCCCGCTCGGGGCTTGCCCACCCGCCAGGCCAGCCCCAGGCCAGGCGGCAGCTTCCCAAGCCAAGCCAAGCTGGATCTGGTGGCTGGGGCCTCTCCTGGCATCACAAAGAGCAGCGGTCCCGGGGGAGGGGCAGGGCAGCCGGGGCGGGCTGGACTCACATTGTGCAGCTTGTAGTAGAGGCCACAGGCGTTGCAGACAGGGTCTCCGTTGGCGTTTCGGCGCCATAAGGTGGTGGTTGTCGTCTGGCAATTTGCACAACAGGTGCCCGCTCTCCTGGCGGCCGACTGGGAGGGGAGGGTGGCGTCAGCGGGCTGGGCTCCCACGCCCCGCCTCGACCTCCCTCCCTCCCCAGCCCTCACCCCCCACCTCCCCACCAACTTAGCCAGGAGGGTAAATCTCACAGGGGAATCAAGGCATCTCAGAGCCGTGGAATTTTAGAATCTGAGATGGAAACAACCACAGAACTTTAGAATAAAGAGCTCTCAGAAGGCTGGCCTCGGAATCGGTGACGGAAGAGGAAAACGGGCACCTCCCCCAAGTGCCAAATAACCCATCACTACAGCTGGGGAAACTGAGGCCCGGAGGACTCGGAGGCCGCTGGGTCCCCTTCTACTTCTGTCTCCTCCCATGCCTTCCCCTTAAATTCCTGAGTGTGGGGGTCCCTGAGGCCAGGGCAAGGGGACCCCCTGTCGGTGCCAGGGTGGGGCTGCAAAAATGCTCAGGGGTTCTAGCCATGCTGTGCCAGACAGTCGCCCCTAGTGCCCGAGCCACACGTGGCTATTTAAGAAGCTTGCGTTCCGCCACGCTGCCCCGTCTCAACGAGAAACAACAGTCCTTTGCGCTACCAGTCCAGAGCAGGCAGGTCCGGGATAGTCCCCTCACCACGGGCGGGGAGCGGGTGGGATGGGGCTGGCCTGTCTGTCCAGCCTCAGGTACCCCAGAGTTAGTGCCCTTCCCCCAACTCCCAAGGGACACGGGCAGAGGGGGTCTGGAAACACGTGGCTAGTTTCTGGGAAAGGGAACTGGAGATTCCTCAGAGGAGCAGGCAAGGCAGCCTTTACTCAAGAGAAAAGCACCCCTCTGCGATCCCCCAGTGCCAGCCCCACTGTAGCAGAAAGCAGTCCCCCAACACCTCCCAGAGAGCCTCCAGCAGCAGGGCTGGGGGTGGGTGGGCCAGAGCAGCGGCAGCGTGACTAGCATGGCCTCAAGCCGGAGCCTGGCCACAGAGGGACCTGCAGGGCTGCAGCCTTGGGGGGCGGGGAGGGGTGAGGGTGAGTAAGCAGCCGAAGCTGGAATTCTGACTCAGGGGCCAACACCGCATCCTCCACCCCTACCCCCACCAGGCCCTCACCCCGCCTCCTGCAGGAGAAAAAAAAAAGGTGGGGGGCAGCGCCGAAGCCATTTAAGCCTCGTAAATCACTTCTCCCTGAAAAAATATATTTATTATTCTTAGCATTTTACGCATTATTTGCAGAGTGGAGGGTATTAGAAATTTCAAAACAGCCCAGCGAGAGGCAGGACTGAGCTGAAGAGACTCTCCAAACTCGCAGAGTCCGGAAACAGATACAGCAAGTTTCCTTATCTTCAGGCTGCAGATGTCCGGATAGGAAACTCCGGCAGGAGATCCGAAAGGGCATTTTTTTAAAATCACTCAAATGAAAATACACAGTATAGGTGACTCCATGGAAAAATAATAAAGGGCAGGTTTTTTTGGTGGCTGGTGTGAGTGTTTTATTTAAATAAGCCCGAGGAGAGTGTGTGTTGGGAAGCAGAGATCCCTGCGCGACAGGGAAAATTACTTCATGGCCCTATTTTTAAAAAAGAGTTAAACCGGGGCCAAGGGACAGGGAGTTGAGCCCGTGGACACTGGGCTTTGGGGATCCCTGAGCAGGGTGAAGTGAGGGTACCTGGGGGGCTGCGCAGGAGGAAATCCTGCCTGGAAAAAAAATCTGACCTGCAAAATGGGCCAGCGTGACTGACATCGAAGTGATTTTCGCGATAAAGGAGGTCTCAAGTGGCAGAGCGGCTGCTTTGGAAGGGTTCTGTTAGATCTGAGTGGACCCTGGGCTCTGTCAGGTCGGCATCCCTGCGGGGCCGCCCCTTCCCCAGCCACCTGGCGCCCGCCCTGCTGCCTACCAGTCTCCGCTTGGGCTTGATGAGCGGCCGGTTCTGCCCGTTCATCTTGTGGTAGAGGCCACACGCGTTGCACAGGTAGTGGCCGGTGCCGTCTCGCCGCCAGAGAGGGGTGGCTGTAGCCCCGCAGTTGACACACTCCCGGCCTTCTGAAGGGGGACAGAGAGAGACACCCGGCTGCTTAGCCAGCAAGGTCAAGGCAGGAGCCAGGGGCAGACACGTGGCACAGCCGGTGCCAGGCTGCCCCATCAGGCAGGCAGCAAGTCTGCTCACCCGCCCGCTGCCTTAGGGGAGACTTTTAGTCCTTTCCCCTGCATGAGCAGGGAACCAGAGGCCGGAGAGAGTAGTTTAAGGCCAAACCCCCCTCCTCTAAATCTTGGGGAGGCGAAGGGGAGGACTGCAGGGAGGAGCGGGGCCAGGCCCCCAGGGACTCTCCTCCAGACCAGGAAAGGTGTTTACAGCAAACCGTGCTGGTGGCCAGGAGCTGCCCAGTTCAGCCCGGCTGGGCCGCTGGCGGGGGAAGACTGCCGCCCCCTCCCCACTTCTGCCTTTGGGTCTCTCTGCTCTCTCCCCGACTCCGCTGCCCTCCAGGCTGCCCTCCAGACTCCTCGCAGTCCCAGGCCTCAGCCCCAACCCCTTGGGGAGCTCTCGGCCCCCAGTAAATTCCTTCCTTCTCCCCAGGCCTCCACCCTCAGCCCCAGCAGGCACCAGCATTCAGTCCCGACCTACAGTGGAACGTGAGCCTCTTTAAAACAAAACAGAGTTGCCCTTTCATTTTTAGGCTAGGTGGACGGAGTGACCTTGCTGCGTTGCTTTGTTTTTTTGGTTGTTGGGTTTTGTTGTTTTGTTTTGTTTGTTTTGTTTTGTCATTGACCATCTGGAATTCAAATAGAATGTAAAACAAACTTGGGAGAAAGGACTAATTAAAGGCAAGTTAGGTGTTGAGGGCAGGACAGGGAGGGACCCCCCACACCAGGACCGAGGTGGGTGCCGCCAGGGCAGTCAAGCAGGGTAGCTGCCTTAGCACCGAGTCACCAGGAATCTTTCCCCATTTAGTTTAAACTAAACTGTCGATGTATACGGGCAAGGTAGTTCCTGCGTGCGGGGGAGGAAGTTTTTGCAATATTCCTCTTCCCCCAGCTTGAAGGCACCAGGAAGGGGCAGAAGCCCCCATGCCACCACCAGATTCTTGGGAAAGTCCAGCCTGGCCCCGGCCAGCTCCCAGGGCCCACAGGCAAGAGCCCCTATGGTTTCAGCCCCCTGCCCCCCACCCCCACCTTGCCTTCAGGGAGGGAGCCAGGAGGCTGCCAAGGGGCAGGGAGGGGAGCAGGTACTGGGAATTTCGCTCTGGGGAATCTCCCAAGATCAGAGTCAACGAAATCTGTGATTGGGCTGAGCTGGAGAACCGGATTCCTTACTGGCCTGGAGCCTCGGCGTGCGTGGCTGCACGCACACTCACTCACACTCAAAATCACCCGGGGCTGGGTGCGCGGGCTCAGCGCCTCCCTGCACGCTGCATTCTCTCACACACGCAGCCACTAGGCTGCTCGAATTTTCACTTAAAACTCGGGACCGGGAAGAGGGAATTCTCCTTCTGTGTTCTGGCCTGGCAATGGCTGACCTCAGAGGGGAGGAGAGAGGGGGGAGGGAGCTGAACTTGAGGAGCCACCAGAAGCACTTCCGAAAATGACAAGGTTTTAGGCCCCTTCTCTCCCATTCTGGCTCTCAAATACCTGGGGGAGGCACTTAGAGAAAGACCATACCCATCCCCAGATCTAGGACACTGAATCCTGCCCCCTCCCAAAGGCACAAACTGCCCCAGTTTCCACTTGTCCCGGCACCTGCCTTTACCTGAGCAGGAGCGTGCCTTGCTGCGCTGCTTAGGGGTGAAGCTGGAGGCAGGGCCACCCAGGAAGCCTCCAGGGTGGAAAAGTCCACTGCTGTAGTCGTGGGCTGAGGCTGGCACGTAGGAGGGGTAGGTGGGGATAGGATGGTGTGTGGCAGGCTGGGTACCCATGGCAGCCAGGCCTGGGCGCAGGGGGCTGCCACTTTCCATCTTCATGCTCTCAGTCAGCGACACCTGGTACTTGACGCCGTCCTTGTCCTCCCCCCGGGCTGCACTGCCCCCTGCAGAGGAGGAGGCTGGGGAGGCAGCCCCAGTGGTGCTGGGGTCGGGAGACACTTCTTTGGGTGGTGTGGGCGGGAAGCCGAAGAGGTGGGAGCCAGAGTGGGCGGCCGTGGGGGTGAGGGAGGCCACAGAGCTCCCGCTGCCTCCCCCGCTAGCACTCCCGGCCCCTGGGTACACAGAGAGGGGGCCTCCAGGGCCTCCGGCAGCTGAGGGGTGCAGCGGCGTCTTGGAGAAGGGGCTCACGGTCCAGGGGTTGTGGTGGTGGGCTGCTGCTGCAGAGAGGGCTGCTTTACTCCCGTCCAACCAGGGCAACCCAGGGCTGTGCAACAAGTGTGGCCGGCACATCTGGCCACTGGTCAGGCGAGCTGTGGGAAGAGGGAGAGGGGTCAGGGCAGGCACCCAGCAGGCAGGACACAAGACCACAACTCGCAATACAACCAGCAACCCCCTCCCCAAAGAACACCCGAAACGTAACACCCTAACCGTCCATAATCAGGAATGTCAGTCCCAAGCTGAAGGCCAAGTGGCACAGAAGGTACCCGCTGGACAGGGCCTGGAGGCAAACCCCACAGACCAGTGGGCAGAACTGACGAGGAGCCTGGTGCCCCCACCTTCCCCGCACCGATTTCTCAGCTGCTGCGATTCCTGCGGATCGCACATCCGGGAAGCCGCCGGTCGGGCCCTCCTCCCCTCCAGGGCCGGCGCGCGGTGTCTGGCTGCCTCAGCCCTAGCCCGGAGCTCACCGTGCGCGGGGCTGTAGGAGACGCGCGCCCGCGCGTGGGCCGGGTTGGCGTAGTAGGGGTTCCCCTGGGAGTCGAGATGGTTGAAGAAGACGTCCACCTCGTCTGGCGGCAGCAGCTGGGCTGGCTCCATGTAGTTGTGCGCCAGGCCTGGGTGGTGGGAGTCTGGGTGCTGCGCGTTCAACACGGCGGGGTGCGCCATCCAGCGAGGCTGCTCCGGCGCCACCTCCATGGCCAGCGGCGGCGGTCCGGGATCTGGGAGGAGGTGGCGGGCGGCCCTGCGCTGTGGAAGGGGGCGTGAGGGACGCCGCCGGCGTCTGACACCCCCAAAGTCCCGCCCCGCGGCGTCCCACGCGCCGCTGGCCCCCACCTCGCTCAGCCGCGGACGGTCCCGGTCCCGGGTGAGAGGAAAGCTCAAGGCTCAAAACGAAAGAAAGGCGGGGGAGAGGGTTCAGCCACGCACACTCACGTGGTGACCTCCCCGGGCCCCGGGGCCACGCGTCCGTGTGCACACGGCCACACAGGGGCACGAGCCCGTCGCCCCAACACACGCCGCGTCGCACTTTAGTCAGATGCTCACACTGAACCCCCACCTTCCCAGTACGTAAACACAGACTAAAAGTTGGGAGACAGGCGTCCCGGCCCCCAGAAGGGCTCATGATTCCAGAGACGTGCACACACACACACTTGGCGCCGGACACACATACTGACCTCGCCCCCACCCCCAAACAGGCAAGCTGCAGCCCCACCCGCCGAGAGCAAGCCTCCCGCACTCACTCCCAGGAGACTCGATCGGGACCTCTCCACAACACACACCAAAGCAGTCCCCCGAAGCCTGTCTCTGGCCTGGAGACCCCACAGAGACCTCTCAGAGCTTGGTGCGCCCCAAGCCCCCGGGCCAGCTCGCGCACCCCAAACTTACACAGCACCGCGGGGAGGGGGGGCGCGGCCTCAGAGCGACAACAGCACCAGCGGGAGACCCGGGGAAGGCGCGCTAGACTAGGCGCGTGGGGCGGCTGGCGGGGCTCACGGGGTAAGAGCGGGGGGCAGCGCGCGCCTCGGCCTCAGGCCCGCCCGGCTCCGGCCCCTCGGCATCCTCCGGCCGCCCTGGCGCCAGCTTGCGACTCCTGCACAGACATGAAGCGGGGGCCGCGCACGCCTAAGAAGCCAGTGCCAGCCAATCAGCGCCACGCGCCGCCCAGCCTCCGCCCCCCATTGGCTGCGCCCGCAACTCCCGGCCGGCTGGACTCCCGGACTGACCCGCGGGCCTGCCCCCCTCTGCCGCGGGGCCCCCTCCCAGCGCCCTGCCGGCGGCCCCGGCAGCCAACGCCCCCACTCCAGGACCCTCGCCCCACGAACCGACGGCTGCGCCCCTCTTACAGATACCCCGGACCCCCTAAACCCCTGCCCCCCCCACGAGTATCCAGCCTCCAACAGGGGCGCCCTCCCCGGGAGCCCAGGCCGTGCACCCTCGGCGCGTCCTCTTCCCAGGACCCCAGCTCTTCCATTCTTTCGGATCCCACCTTCCTTACCACTGAACAGGGCCACTTGGAGTCCAACGACCTACCCAGACCGGTCCCTCCCCCAACTCCGGCGCTGGCTGAAAGAGGGGTGGGCTGGCGGGAGGACAGCTGTGGGGCAGCAGCGACGAGGGGCAGGAACTTGGGGCCCCAGTGGACACCTGGGCCTCCGAGCCGCTGCGGCTCAGGACTGTGCTTAACCGGGTGGAGGTGGCCTGACCCGCCGCCGGGGGTGGGGGGCGGGGGCGTCCCCTTCCCGGGCGTGGCCTTCGTAGACCAACGGGCCCTAACTGCCTGGGGCGAGGCCGTGGAGACCCGGACTGGCGCCGGCGCCGGCTCGAAGGAGACGCCTCCCGGCAGGAGGAGACATTTTTTTCCTCTGGGGGGTCCCTAAGGTGTCCCAGGGGAGAGGGAGGAGGCGGTTGACCTCTGTCCCCTAAGTCACCTGGAACTGCTCTCCACACATCCCCAGCGCCGACTCAGCTCTGCGGCTCGAGTGGGCCCGGTGTACAAATCTCCTCGCTCTCTCCGATTATACAGACAGAGGTGATCGAGCTCGAAGGGCGCCTAAGGCCGAGGAGGGGGGTCGGAAGCAAATTTGGGGGCACTGAGACAGGTGCGGGGGGTAATGGGAGTAATTAATGTCCTCCAGCCCCTCTCCCCGCGCCCAGCCCTCGGATCTCGCTGTAGTAACCCAGAGGGATTCCAGGTGGGTCCAGGACAGAGGGAGGGGGGGTCCGGGCCACCCCCCGGAGGGTGGGGGGAGGGGCGGCGGGATTGACAGTCGGTAATTGGGTAACTGGAGGCGGCTTCTCCGGCCGGGCGGCCCCGCCACCGCGACGCCGGGCCCCTGACGTCACCCGATTCGCCAGGAAATGAACTTTTTAATAATCCGAGGAGGGAGGAAAACCCTCGGTCCCCTCGGCTCGGGGGGCGCCCGGCCAGGCCCAGCTCCGCGGGCGCGCCCCCGTCACCCTCTTTCTGGACAGCTCTGGGCAGCGCCAAGGGGGCTCGGCACCGGGCCGGGACCTCCACTGCCTCTGCGTTCGGCTGTCTGTTCGTCTGTCTGAGGCCCCGGTGCAGGTAAACGCGGGGCCGGGGGCCGAGAGCCGTGTCTGGCCGCGAGCCGCTGCGTCTCCGGCCCTTGGGGACCCGCCTGCGCTGGCCTCCCGCTGCGCCTCCCGCTCCGCTGCACTCTGGGCGCTGGGTCGGCGCTTCTCGGAACTCCGCTCCGCGGGAGAGGAGGCCGGCGCCCACCGGGGAAGGCGCGCCGGAGCCGGGAACGCGAGCGGGGAACCCAGGGTGCTGGGCCTCGGTGGCCGGACCCGGCAGGTGAGAGGCCTCCATGCCTCGGGTTCGCGCTCCCTGAAACGCGCTGGATCTGGCCTGGGCCCGCTATCTCCCGTCTGTCTCTCCTCCCTGCCTCTAGTTTATGACTCTTCATCAGCGCGTAAAAATGGGATCGCCGCGGAGCCTTGAATCCATTTTTGTGTTTCCGGAGCCTAGCGGGAGTTTTTCAAAGACACCGTGGCCTGGGGACAATCTCCACGTCCAGCAAGGCTGCCCCGCTGGAGCTCGAGCTCCGGGACCCAGGGTCTGGGACCGCTGGCTCACTGGCCAGCTGTGGGACCGCGAACGCCAGAGCCGAGCGGAAGCTTTCCGCGGCGCGGCGCCGAGATCGGCTGGAAAGGGAAGTAGCCGCTCCTAGCTCTCGGGAAAACAGGTAACTCATCTTTCCCCTCCAAAGGCAGTCAAAAGTATTCCCCGGTTCTGTACGGGTCTGCAACTTCATCACCGCGAGCTGTACTTCGGGCTTCTCTGGGGCAGCCTCAAGCCCCTGTCGGCTGCTAGCGTCCCAGCCACCGAAGGGGTGGAAGTGACCTGCTCTCCGCTGTCGGAGCCCCTGGCCCAAACGGCAGCCCAGCTCCGCCCGCCGGCCGGGCGCAGAGCAAAGCGCCAGCGGGGATTTAATTACCCCGCTCGGCGGCTCAGAAAATCGCCGCGCATAGGCGCTTAAGTGCGTGGTGAAGCGCTGCTTGAGCAGGGGCCTCCCGAGACCCGCGTCAACCTCCTTCCCGCAATCCCCGGCTTGAGAAAAAATGGGAAAATGGCAAAGGGACGCTTGTCTGTTCTCTTAAGAGCCGGGGGTTTCTTGCCTTCCTGCAAAAGGGAGGCAGGCTGCCGGCTAGGCCAGGCCTTCACACTCACCAGAGTTCCTGCGTTGGACGCGGGACTGCGGCAGAAACGAACCTACGGGCAGAGCAAAGCAGACAGCCAGGCAGCAGGGCTTCCAGCTGGCCAATAAGGGGGGGACACCCTCCTGAGCGTGTGCGTGTGCCAGACAGATGGACAGAGATGCTAGCCAGGGCCTCACCCACTAGTGGAGATCAGCCTATCATTTCTGCCCCCAAACAAATGTTCAAGGAGGGTCAGGGTGGCACCCAGGATGGAATGGGTTTCAGGGTGACCCTCAGAATGAGAAGAACAGATTTATGCCACTTTGTGACCTTGGGCTTTGGGGTCTCCAGACACCTTTGGAGGGACACTTTCTCTCTTTCATTGTTTTGTTTGGAGGGTTGTGGCAAAGTCGTGACTGTTCAGCCTCTTGATGGCATGAAGAAGCTGTCACTTTCCTTATGTGGGAACAAGATTTCCGAGAAAGACGGGGGCGGGCTATGGGGAAACTGAATTTTCTAACGGTATTTTTCAAGTGACTCGAAATTCCCAGCATGAACGTGCAATTGGTGCACCTGAGGTGCTTTCAGCGAAAAGCTAGGGGTGCAGGGACCCTAAGTCCCATTCCAGGGGGCCTCACAGACCTGAGTCGGCTGGCTCTCGGCTGCCCAGGTCCTCCTGGTCCCTCGCCCTCCCGGGCTGCAGCCTTTGTTTAAACTTAGCTCATTCGAGGTGGCCTCTGGGATCATGAGTTTGTCCTCTCTTTTTAAGCCAATTCTTCTCCCCTTTCCAATGGGTATCTAACTTGGCTGGTGGGGGAGGGGGTGCTCAGAGAAATGGGCTTGCTTAGAGACTGCACTCCAGTGGCCTCCAGCCCCACACTGGCAGGGCGCCTTGAGAGGTACTGTGGAGGAAGTGGGGGTGCTGCAGAAGTCTCTAGGGCAAGGCCTCAGGTCTGCTCCGACTGCAGTCATCCTCCAGAAGGGTTCTCAAGGAGGTGGGGTGAGGAAAGAATCAGGGTTCCAACAGTCCCTCCGGCTCTCTGGAACTCATTTCCAGCCCCCCAAATCTGAAGGCCCCCTCTCTTGTGGCCTCTGGACTGGCTCACCCACCCTATCTTGCCTTTTTAGCCTTTTGGAATTGTACAGATTGTGTCCCAGAGTCCTAGATGTCTCAGCGCCCTGGGCCAGGCGCCTCAGAGATCCTGTATCTCCTTACCGCCTTCTAACCCCCCACCTCCGAGTCCCACACCTCCCCCAGAGCCCCCGCTGGGACCTGCAGCAGTCTGCCCGCATTTCTCCCTCCACCTACAGCCTCGGTTTACTCAGAGCACCCGGCGGGCCGACGGCACAACTGGTAAATCCGTTTCGTTAAACGCAATTTGTTTGCAATTTGTCAACCCGGCTGGGAAACGCTCTCCAGACGCCTGGGCAGTCGCAGGGGCCCTACCTGCTTCTCGAATCATGCCTACTCACAAACGAATCCCTGCGCTCGGCGCTCCAGGAGACCCGGAGGTCACCGCCAGATGTTCCCCCCACCAGGAGAAGTGGCTTTTTCCAAAACAACGAATTTCCTTC